CAACGCAGTTCTTTCACATTACGATGAAAACGTTTCAAGAAACATTTAGCTGGAAAAGCTCATATAACTAAGATGATGGGAATTTTAGTGTTATGCATTGATACAGGTTGCTCATGATATTTTTGCATCGATACCTTTTGCTGTCAGATAATGAAAAGGCACTTTAGTGTTGCAGTGACATTTTCCTAGTTGATTCAAAGCCACAGGCAAACAATATTTTTCCATAATTTTTCATATTCCCCGTTTGAAATAGGATAGTGCCAGCTCACGCTCCTGAGCTGAGCTGTCTCACTGATTTGCCTTCTGAGCTGTCTCACTGATTTGCCTTCAGAACAAAGCCAATTGGCATGCATCACATTTGAATACAACTTATTTTTAGTTACCACAGTATTCAAAAGTGTACCACAGTGTTTCTATTTTAACTCGTGTAGTTACTACTGTGGTAACTCGTGTGTACCACAGTGTTTCTATTTTTCTATTATGACTTTTGTTGCTATGTTTTGCCAATATCTCTTGTTAATTTTTTCACATTTCAACATATATGTCTCTTTAACTAAACAATTAGAAGTCTATTTTCTTATTTTGATCACCATTTTACCCCAGAGCGATTCTTACCTTCTTATAAATTATAATCCTTATATACAGCAGAAACCTTAATAGGAAAAAACTACAGATTTTCCAGATGGCTATGTTGTTTCAACTGTGAGAGCAAAACTTGTTATATTCTTGCCTAGTTTCAGCTGCTGTTATTAAGCCTAACATCTCTAACTCGTGTCAGCGTTGACATTTTAATCCCTGACATGTTTATTGCTTATTCCTTTGTTATAAGTGGCCTTTAAAAATTCTTGAGATGATTTGGTAATTACTGAAATTTCAATTTCTAATAGTATTTGAATTTTTTTGAAAAGGCACTTCAATAACCCAAAATCCAAACCCTCTTAAAGGCAATCTGTCACGACGTTGATTGGTTATAAGAACAAAGGGATTTCTATTGTTTCCAGTCCTCTTTAATTTATCGCATTGTAAAAAATATAGCGGAGCGCTGGAATCGTGTCTAGGCTATTGTTCCAGCTATTGTTCTCGTTAACCAATCCACAACGAGACAGATTGCCTTTAACTGAACCAGCACTTCGATCTTCTTTCACAGAAGGCAGATATGGCTCTAGCAGCATTAACAATAACTGCAAGCAGAGAGGAGGTGATTCATTTCAACACTCCATACATGGAGGTTAGCATTGGTTTGATAAAGAAAAAAACAAATGTGGCCCACCTTGACTTACTACTGTTTATGGAACCATTCACCGGTGTAGTCTGGTTACTAACCTTGACCGCTTGCCTCTTTGTTGGACTCTTCCTCTTCTTTGTCGATGCTTTTAGTCCGTTTGGTTGGAAACAAGTCGGGGAAAGAGCTACCGGAAGACCTGGAACAGAGTTCAACATTTTGAACAGCATCTGGTTTTCAATGGCTTCCATCTTGCTTCAAGGCCCAGATAACACCCCAAGATCATTGTCGGGTAATCTCAGATTTAGAGCGTATTCTTCTTTTAATTAGATTACGACTACGATTATGTTAATTAGCTAATTGGCTGCCCCCCCAAGTGTATGAACTTTTATCAAGTTCACTAAGATTATCGATTATAGTCGTCGTTAGATTTTAAGGGACAGATTTTAAAGACAATAAACATAGAAATAAGTTTGTTCTTCCATTCATATAATGTGATTTGTCCTTCTGAGAAGACAAACCAAAGATAAAAGGCGATCTTGGCGGGGATGAAATAAACTTTCTTTTCTTATGTTAAAGTTCAGCATGGAAAACATTTCTACTAAAATTCGCCTTCTAATACATCTCACTGCTATTCTTAGTTGAAATTTGGCTAACTTTCTTTCAAATTCGCTGGTATTATCGATTGAGGTGCCGTTTGTTTAAAAGTTTGGTTATTGTGGGCTAGTGATCTTGGAAAAGTGACTTTTGTTTTTCGTGTATACCTTTGTTATAAGAAAACTTGTCCAAGTAAACGTTATCTAAAGATAGGATTTTGTTCCAAAGGGAGAATACTCGTTGGATGCTTTTGGTTTTATGTTCTTATACTGACATCAAGCTACACTGCAAATTTGGCTGCTTTCTTCACTTCGACAAAGCAAACGGAGCAACAGGTCAACCTAGAGTCACTCTTGAAAGAAGGTGCACAGTTTACCACCATTGAGCATTATGCTCTAGAGCAGTTTTTGAAAACTTCCAATTATAAGATCTACAATAGGGTGCACGAGAGAATGACTATCCAGAAGGCCCTTGCAAGCGGCCTCACAGATGCGCTTAGTAAGCTTGAGAAAGATCCTTCTATGTACTACCTTGAGGAGAAACCTTTCATACAGTGGACAATCAACAAAAAACCGTGCGATCTCAAGATAAGTAAGTATTGAACTCATTTTTCTTTTTGTTGTTCTGGGTCAGTAGGTTTTAACATGCTCAGAAAGACGCCTTATGTTGATGGAATTTCAAATAACTGTCATTCTTGCTTTGAATAGCTGCAGTCATTTTACGTTTGTTGTGTCTTCTATTTGCCTTTTGAAGAAAATCATTATAGGAGTTGCAGTATTGTTTCTGCTTGATGCAAAGCCCACAAGTTCCTACTACAAAGCTCGCTACAAATTGTGGGAACATTTAAAAATAGATGCATTATCTTATGAAACAAAAAAGGATTCTCTAGCATCTAAACCGTAAGCAAACTGATGATATTTAACTTGGTATCAAGAGCGTATTTGCTACCCAAGATAAGGACTAGATTATGATGTTGCTATTGTTAGCCCAGATGAAACCATGATATTTTATTAAAGAAATGCTTTAGATGTCTCCCATAACTCTGGTAAGTTTTTGGCTTCAGGTTTTTTACCCTTATATGAGTTGCTTTTTTGCAGCTGAAGGTAAGACAAATAAGAACACCAATAACTGCTACCATATTTAGTATTCATGCATCTTATACTCTGCCATCATTTAATTTGTAGACATTTTGTTTAAAATCCTATTTCAGATTATTTTTTGAAAATCAAATTCAAAATTATCTTTTATTTTAGATTTTTTATGAATTTTGAAAACAGCTTGAACGCATCAACCTTTTTCTTTGATATTTGAATTATGGAGCAGTCATGCAAACCTTTCTTTCCAGCTGCGATATATCTACGTGCCCATGTCATATGAAGCAAATTGGAACTCATTTCCAAGGAGTGTTATTTGGAAATCACACTTTTTTCAATGTTTTTGCGAAATTTGTTATCAAGCTATGTTGTCAAGCTATTTTTCATTTACTAGCGACAAATCTTGCTTGCATCCAGCTCATTTGGACAACTGTTGAAAGTTTGTGTAAATTTTAGCTGAATGTTTTCTCAATAGAAAATTTATTTTTATTTTTTACAGAACTCTAAACTTAAGTTCTTTAATATCCGACTCTGGCGGACCATATAAAAACAACAGTTTAGGTTGATGGTCTGTTTTGAATAAAACTCCTTAAACCACAACATTTCACTTTTTCGTTATCGTTATGTTCTTGCTTTTTCAGTTGACACCACACTACCCAAAACATATTTTGGTATTCCTGTCAGAAAGGATTCTTCAACGAAACCTGCAATATCACATGCGATTTTGAAACTTCTGGAGTCTGGTTTCCTTGCAGAAAGACGTTTCTATTATATGGATACTTTAAGTGAATGCAAAGAAACGGACGATCATCAGCATGGAAGTATGTAAATTTTATTTCATATATCCGCAAAATTTGTGTATAACCAGCATTGTCTGCTATAAAAAGAGTTCTTTAAACATATTTGGTGAGATTTTGTCCAAATAGGAGTTTGGATCGTTCAAAAGTAGGTATGCATGTCTCTAGGCAAAGGAATCAAACATCTCTGCGATTAGTATATCAAGTGCCGTAAGTGAGGCTTTGAACAGTGGATTGCTAGCTTTACTCTTCTGATAAGCTAATGTTTTGCTGAAACTTGGCGGTCTTTTTCTTTTACACACTGAAAGCAGTCCTAAATTAGTACTTGCCCTTCCTTCCAAAGGGTTGAAGCTAGAAAAGCTTGCTTGTTTATCAATTTTGATGAGCATAATGCAAATTAAACGACTATAAGTTCAAAACAACCGTTAGGTATGTTTCAACCTTAAAGTTATCTAGTTTGCTGATGAAGTAACGATGAATCATGGTTGGCTTTTCTGGTCCACTGGCCAATATTCCATACGTCATCAACGCCCCTTTCCACTTAATAAGAGCCAACGGAAAAGCTGGCAAACAATGCAAAAAACTATTTGTGGGCTCAACAACTTTCTGAAAACATTGCTACCAGGTGTTACAACCGTTTTACATAAGTTCTTATTGGGGTGACATCAAAAGACAGATGGAATTTTCGCTGTATTGCATGTCACAAGCTGAATTGGTACTACTTCTTGCTAGCGATTTTTTTGCTTTTTAAAAGAGCATACCATTTTTGAACATAGTAGGTGCTGAAATTCAATGAGTTAGCAAACTGTTGTACTACCCTGCTTTATCCGTATAAATGACGTTCTAGGAAGTTTTTCAGAAAGTCCCCATAAATGGAAAGTTTTCTTATCATATTTTATGCGGGGTGAAAACCTGGCTTAATGCCCAATTTCATTCGCTAATTGCAATAGAGCTAATGGACACGAACAACGTGTGCTTCATTTAAATAATTTTGACTAAGTGTCACAAGACCACCATCAATGCAGCGTTATCCCTCAAATTAAATGTACGCCACCTGAATCGCCACCTGGCTTCTAATCGATTCCAATTTTTGCTTGATCTGGTGCCCATTTCTACTTCTCTCAGTAGGCACCTCGCCCGTAAAAGTATCTTTGGCTATCGAATATTTTCACAAGGAAACTTTGTACTGCTTTATTCCTCATACTCATGTTATAATAATGATGATAATAATAATGATCATACGGTTAGTTTCATTCATCTACACAAAACGAGATTATATACAGAAACCAAATCTTCCCTTTCTAAATAAAGTTATGTTTAGTTTCCCAAGTTAATCAATCATGTACTATTTTTTGTGCCTTATATTTTGGTTAGAGTCATGTGCAACCGATCTTTTTAAAGTCGCTTTCCTTCGTCGCTCAGTATGCTGAAGATTATGTAAATGAGGAAATGACGTAAATTACATCGTCGTGACAAAATTTTGTCTCATTTTGAATTTAAGGCCGTTTTCCACTAGGCGAATTTATTCGCGCGAAGCGACTTTTTTCGAGCATACGCATGCGTCGCATGCGTATTTAAATTCTCGCACAGGAGCTCATTCGCGGTGACTGTTCGCAGCAGCGAAAAAGTGAGTTCGAATGGATTCAACTTTTTCGCGGCGAAGAAAGGCGCAAGCCAATTAATTTGCTGGAAGCCTGTCATGTGACATCCATGACCAAAAGTCGCGCCAAAACAACAGCAGCAGAAAAAAAACATGGCTGCAATGACACTGAATACATGTCGTTAAATCTTTGAACTGCTCCGAGTGGTAAAACAAAAGAATTGATGGGTGAGAGGCTTGTACCAATACGAGGAAACAAACGCTCGATACTCTAAATGCGCGCGGCAGCTCCCAAGCAATCGAGAGACTGCCCCCGCTGCCCCCGTGCTTCCGGCGCCGCTGTATCGGATTAACCCATTTTCTTTCATGATCAAAATTTTGTTTCTCCTTTTTATGTTGATTGAGATTTGATTGAGGTCTAGCGTGTTTAATTTTCAACATTTGTAAATTGGGGGCACGTGCCTCAGATTCCCCGGCTCATACGTCTTGGTCTTTGGTCATGTGCCCCACCACTCTCTCATTCTTCTACTTTTGAACCGCTTCGCTTTTCTCCGCGTCCGCGCCTTGCCTGCTTGGCGGCTGATTCTGTTTCTATGGATATAATACCAAGGCCTATCAAATAGATTCCAATTGTTCCTAACATGCTATTGTAAAAATGGCCAATCAGTGGTTGGAGCAGTTCAAAGATTTAACGAGATGTCACTGAATCTCTTACAACAAATGATGGCAAATGGAGACATAACTGTGGCTGACCTTGCCAGTTTAGCAAATACCAACAGTCAACAGGAACTCTACAACCACGAAGACAATGCTGCCACGCCAGGCTCCGTTGATGAGACAGGTTTTGAGGAGACAGAGACGATCGTCTCTGTTGTCACCACCACCCCCGAGAACAACCTACAAGGCCTAGACCAGTACAATGGCGAAGAACTACTTGCAGCTGAATTCGACAAAGAAGTATTTTTGGAAGAAGTCCGCAAGTACAGATGTTTGTGGGATATTGCTTCCGAAGGATACAAAATTAGGCCCATGAAGCAAAACGCATGGTCAAAAATAGGACAGTTATTCAACAAGGACGGTGAGTTCACACCTTTTTTTTATATTCTCATAAAATTTACAACGACAATCAATTACAATACACAAGCCTAGGGAGCAAGGAAATGCATACCAACCCTAAGACCTACACTTAACATAGAGACACAAATATTACAATAATAAGCTACAGAAGTGATTGGAGTGGTGTCGCCCATCGTTCCAATAGCGTTGCAGATATGACAAATACTCACAAAAAGCTATTTTAAATAGAGATATCAAGTTTACCTATGTTCCTTGCTAATTAAACAAATTTGCGCCCAGACATGATGATTTATACAGTTCGAGAAAATAATTTACACGAGAGAGGTTTTCACAGCTTGTGGTTTTCTTTTTGTCCCTCAAACTGATAACTCTCATAATAATAATCTAATAATTCTAAGAGACTTTCTGTGCTGGACAAAATTCTTAGTTTGATGATATCTTTTAGAATCTTGTAAATAATATTATTTGATTTCTTTTTTTGTAGTGGAATTTCTTCAGAGGCATCTAAAAAATCTAAAGGACAACCTGAAAAAATGTTTGGACAAGAGGAACCGGATGACTAGGTCTGGTGCTGCTGCAAGTTCATTGCCTAAATGCAAGTACTTTGAACAAATGAGATTTCTGCATGAAAAAACAGCAAACAGGCCCACAGAAAGCAACATTATTCAAGCTGAAACAGCTTTGCAGTCTGAAGATGTTTTGGACGGCCCATTAGCCCCTCAGATATCAGTAAGGCCAGTTGTTCTGAGTGGTACAAAAAGGAAGGCAAGTGACACACCATCCTCTTGTGGTAGTCAAGGGTATAAGAATCGTCAAGAAAGATTTGATAATGCAATCCTGAAAGAATTGGAATCCACAAATAATGCAATCAAGTCAGTTGTCACTACTGATAATGAGGATGAAGTTTCTCTGTATTGCAAAAGCATCATTCCAATAATATCATCTTTTTCAGTTAAAAAGAAACGATTAGCTATGATCAAAGTCAGCCAACTGTTGTTTGAACTTGAGTTTGAACATGAATAATATTATGTAAGGTTAACTTATTATGGATATGTAACATTTTTATTTTGATGTCTATACACATTTGTAATTCTGTTCTTACTTGCTTCATTCTTTTATTGTCTGTCCTGAAACCACTCATGTGGATTTGCAGTTCGACTAACCAATTCATTTTGCCATTCAACTGCGCCCTCGTTGGTAAAGTAGTTTTTATATCCATGTCTTACAGAAGCTGCATCTTTAGAGTAGTTATTTGAACCACTTTGAGAAATTGGTCGAAGGCTACCAAAATCAGCTCTATTTTGTCTCCATTCACCAGCCTCAAAACCTGATGGTCCATCATGGTCAACAAAGTTTCTTGGGCAATATCGATTGTTTGTTGATGAATTTTTAAACATCAGTAGATTGTGCAGTGCAACAATAGCTTTTGTGATAAGTATTACTTTGCTTACATTGGCAATGATTGGTCTTCTCAATACTCGAAATCTACTGGCAGCAATACCGAAAGTGTTTTCAATCACCCTCCTTGCCCTTGATAACCGATAATTAAAGACACGTTGATCAAATGACAAATTATGTGATGGGAAGGGCTTCATCATATGTGTTTTGAGTCCAAATGCATCGTCTGCAACAAATACAAATGGAAGTCGTTTTTCTGAGTTGGGCAGCTTTGCAGGTCCAGGGATTTGCAATAGATTATTTTCAATAGCATAACCTAAAATACTACAATTATACACACTTCCATCACTCTGGCGACCACTATCTCCTATATCCACCAGAGTGAACTTATATCTTGCATCGCAAATTGCCAAAAGGGCAATGCTAAAAGTTTTTTTGTAATTAAAAAAGGAAGATCCTGATTTTGCTGGTGCTTGCATGACCACATGTTTCCCATCAAGGGCTCCCAAGCAATTCGGAAAATTCCAAAATCTTGAAAATTCTTTGGCTATAGATTTCCATTCCAGTTCTGTTGATGGGTTTTTGATGAAGCCTTTTGCGCTGAGTACTTTCCATACAACTTCACAAGTCTCACTGATTATTCTCCCAACAACTGTGGGACTCATACGGAAGCTTGCTGATATCGTTACTTGGGCATCACCCGTCACCAGGTATCTTAAACAAACAGACAATCTTTCACTTGGTTGGAAAGCTTTCCTCATTTTCGTATCGTTTTTCTGAAGAAACGGGCCAAACCAATTCAGGAGCTCTTCAAACAGTGTAGGAGTCATTCTAAAACACCTGAAAAAATATTCAGCATCGTGTAGTCTCAGTTCTTTGATCAAAAGATGATACTCGCCCTTCCGCTCCCGTTCTTCATAGATCTTCCTTATCCAAAACCTTTTCTTGTACTTTTGCAACCTTCTCTCGCGTCTTCTTAGCAGCAAAATTTTGATCAATAATCGAGCTTTCAGTAGCAGTAGATACCTGAGATTAACAGCGGCCATCTTTGAAAAGCTTTTCGCACCAAAAAACCAAAACTCGCTGGAGCTTCTGTGGAAAACAAAAACGCGTTCGATCGATTTTTTTCGCCGCGAAAAATTCGCTTCGCGCGAATAAATTCGCCTAGTGGAAAACGGCCTTTAGTCGAAGAAATTTTCGTCAAAGATTTGTCCGAAATTTTATCATGACGAAATTTTTTGTAGTTAATGTAGATGGTATTGAAGAAAGGCTCGTATAAAGCTGTTACTTTCATATGATTCTCATATGATTTAGTTTTATTTAGTTGATTTAGTTTAGTTTTTTTGGGCATAAATTTTCATTCGAATTAGCTAAAATTCAACTTAATGCTTTGACTTAGCTCTGCAGATTGCGATGGAAACAGTTAGGTCAAGATCAGGACCGAAGTTCCATTTCTACAAAGGCAATTTCCGACTTATGGTCAACTTCTTTCGATCTTCATACAAAAGTTATTGTCATGTATATAGAAATTCGAAATCGCAACTTAGAGCCGTTCTGGTTTTTACACCACAGTGTATGATAGGTGTTGACATATGTCTTTACAAAATCGTGGCCGAAGTTCTGTTTCTACAAAATCATTTTTCCGACTGATGCTCTTATTGAATCGTCAAATTTATGATAGATGGCCATATTTATATTAAGGGTCAGATTCGCGTTTTGCTTGCAGCTTGTATTAAGTGGTTGTGTTCTTTTTTCAGTAACTGAAGATGGACGCATTGAGCCTATTCAAATGCTGGGTGCTTACTCATTTCTAATTGGTGGCATCATATTAGCAGTACTCATCTTTTTTGGTGAACTTTACTGGAAGAAAAAAGTCGCAGATCGTGCGATGAAACTCCAAGAGCAATTAAAACTGTACGTAACATCAGCTTTTTAAAAGACCCTGAGTCAACTTCTCCATATTTATAACGCATTGTCAACTTCTACATAAATCCTTTTAAAAATATAATTAACTAATTGCATCCCAAGTTTATCTGCCAAATCAGAAGCAAAATAGATAAAGTGTTTGGATCTCTTGGTAAAAAAGTATCAAGCAGGAACATACCCTAACCACACCTGTTTGTATTTTACAATGGCAATAGGCTCTATTGAATACGTTTCTATTGAAGAAGATTGGGGACTCCTTATTGAATATTTGTAGTGCATTAAACATGCAGTTGGATGCATCCGTGTAACAAGTCACATGAGTTGACAATGCTGCTCCTTTGAAATTATTTTACTAAAAATGATATTTCGCAACATTTGCCTAGAAGTTTATTTCATATCCAGGTTTCTGTTGTGTATAACAATAAATATGTTACTCCAAGGTACAAATTGAGGTAACAATAGTGAAATAAGGATGTTAGCTATTTCTTTCGAATGGTATTGTATGAAATCTCTTAAAAACAAACTCAACGAAGGTAATATCCAATTTGCAAAAAAACGTCATTAAAAAGAAAAGCAACTCCGTACAATGCACCACCCAAAATTAATCATAAAAATCAGTTATTGTATCGAGTAAAAATGTCAGTAACATTAGTCTTTGCTAAAATCATTTCAATGTCACATTATTTTGATCAAATTCCCTCTCGATAAGCGGTTCTTTCCTTCTACAGGTTCCTGCCTAAAAATCTTTATTGCTAAAATGACACGAAGATTTTTAATGACCTTGCAGAAAGACGTCTGTAATGACGCAAAAATGTCTGTTTAGATTAAACATTGGGATGACTGACCAGCTATGTGTGACTTTAGTTAATGTCTATCAAAATACTTGGTTTTAGAAAGATATAGCTTTTTGTTTTATCTTAATGGTTTTTTTTAATGCAAAAGCAAAATTTTGGGGGATAATCTAACAATAAATTCTTTGTTTTAGTTTTATTGCTCGCTACAAGTTGAAAATTTCTAAATGATTACGTTTTCCCTTTTAGGAGCATCCGGAAAGCTCAAAAGAAACCGGCTATAAACCCAAAAATGCGAATTTTGGTTCAAGGTATTTATTTTTGAAAATATTTTCCAACTATATGAATGAAAAGTAAGCTGAAGAAACAGATTGTGAAAGAAACATGAAAGGAAAAATCTGAATAGATGCTTGTGAACATAAAAGGAAGTTTTAAAAGCACTGAGAAACGACAATACTCGATTTAAAGTGAAGATTACTTCTATTACGACGCATCGTACAACCCTTTGTTATGTTCATGGGCTTTTACAGAATATGTTTTTGTATTGGAACAACTTTATCTATCAGTGAATTGTGCCTAGGAACGGGATACCCTTCAAACTGTATAGCGCTTGCTAGCTTGGAATGTTGCGATACTAGGGGTGTCCTTTTCCTGTGTTCCACTCATCAACGATAAATATACCAAGGGATAATGAAAATACCTTGTGTTGTATCCACAAGAACTCCAAGAAAAATCTACTGACGATATGACCGACTGTCTAGAATGACGTCACATACTATCGTTTTCTATGCAAGGGCAATGAGGTTTATGATCGCAAAGATGCGGTCGAAAATTAGGTAAGCAGACGTCCAGTGCAGCCCACGCGAGTTCTTCCATTTGCGGCCTGTTTTTCAAAGTACGTAAGCTATTGAGAATTCATGCGTTATTTGACAAAAGCGTGTTTTGGTAAACCGTTGCATCTTTAGCGTTTGCCTCAGGCTTTGGCCTTGTCGCATCAGTGACGAATGTAAGGGGGGGTGACAACTAGGGGCAGTTGCCCCTCCCTTGCCGAGTTGAAGCAAGTCTGGCGCCCCTTTTTGGAAATAGTGCGCCCCTTTTGAGACTGAGAATCAGGGAAAAAACTGGAGCATATTTATGATAAAATATTTGTCTGTTGTGCCTAGGATCCTTGGTTCTCAGTCGATGTTGCAAATATCCCAGTCATAGTTGCATAGCTTTTTCTGCCGCCAACCATAGTGGCCGCCTTTATCAAACCCTGAATAACCAGTCTTACCTTTTGCAATAATGACGTATTGTTGAATTTTAGGTGCATTCATTAAACTACTGTCTAACTATACAGCCATATTCCAATTAAAAATTAAATCAAAAGCGGCAAAATTTCTTCCCCCCCCCCCCCGAATTTGATTTCTTGGTAAGGAAAAAGCATTAAAGTCAGTCCCTTTAGCAGAGTTGCAGCCACTATGGCGAAACAGCAAACGCTCGGCAGGAAAATTTATCTATTAAGAGATGAGTTTTTATAAGAGACCTTCAGTCGTGCTCAGGCTATATGTCATTGCTTTGACATAATTATTGTGAAAATTTTCTTAGAATGTAATTAAAGAGCCTCCTCTCAGTAGTTAGGGTTGGAAATTGTTGTGTACAGAGTACTCTCGTCACCATTTTCTGAAAAGTTTTCAGCGCCCCCACGACCAGCTGCCCCTCTTTCTAATTTGCTCATGTTCCGCCTCAGTGGTGCAAAGATTCATCAAAGTGCTGAACGTAGATGATTTGATCTTGTGAATAAATCGAATATTTTTGCCGTTTGCTTGAATCTTAAGCTCTGATCCCAGTTTCTGCTAGTGGAAAACTCGTTAACAAGAATTTGTAAAATTTCCTTGATTTGACGTATAATCGTTCAAATGATGCTGATCATTAATAATCAAGCTAAGAGGGGATTTCTAAAGAGAAATTCAACTGTATTTTAAGAAGCGGCAATGGAGAACTGTAGCAGAATAGCAACATTTTGAAGAATACGTCTGTAGTCCTTTTTGCAAGAAATAGAGATCGCTCGGTTCTTCCTTTAGCTTACATCACAGAATATGTACTTTGAGATCTGGTAATACCAGGTCCTAGAGATCTCGAACAATGCTACATGATTATCCAAATGGCAATTTAACAGTCTCTTATTCCTGGAAAATTTACATTTTTAGAGAAAGATATGTAAACAAATTAGCTTTTGACACATATTGATTTTATTTGCTTTGATTGTTTTAGCAAAATTTGGGCTTGCGTTTATAGAAAAAACCAAAGTTCATCCCTGGCGCTACCATGAGCTAAATTTTTCCAGTATTGTCCTAGATTTACAATACAAGAGACTGCTCAGGCTAGCCTGGCATTATCTGCGTTGAAATTTAGAGATTCTTTTAGAGTCAAATCCTCTTGCTTTAAAATGGACTAAGCGTTCTGCGCCCGTTCCTATGCACCAATAGTTAAGCTGTTTCAACAAAGAGTTCCTTGGTCTCCACGGATTTTGGAGGAGGGGTTTGGTCATTAAATGATCACACACACAGACAAGATGTAATGTCTATTCGTCCTCTCTGTCCTTAAAGAGAGAGGCAGACGAAAAGGACACTCGACGTTGGTTTTCACTCGAGCTTTATGGTGTTATTTGGTGCTTTATTGAATATGCAAAACGATTCCCTTCCTGATTTAATAAAGAATCTATCATTACCTCCACCAATCAGATATGATTACTTTGCTTTGTTTATTATAATGCAAAATTATTTGATAGTGGCAAAAATTGATCAATTCATCATGAATTATCAGCAGCTCTCACTCAAGGTTTCTAGTGCAATGTTTACCGCGGGATTATACTGGGCAAGCCGTAATTGAATATCATTGCTGAATGAGAATGTATCTTCTACACACATGTAGCGTTTGGGAATATCATTGATGACCATAAAAATGCTTTAATGGATTGATGTTGTTTCCTGTCAGCATTTCCCCTCGACTTTGAGGTCCGCTCAATACTTCTTTCTCAAACTTAATGATTTGGCAAGGGGAAATGCAGTTCATTTTATCAATGGCCACAATACTGCAATATTGGCAATTACGTTTCTAATTTAACCAAAACCCAAAGCGTAAACATAGCCCACTTGTATATTTTGCATCAGAACTCGTGAACGCAACGTGGAGTGCCAAAATACTACGTGTCCTGCGGTTCACCCCAAATTTCCAGCAGCATTTCCCAGTCATGTGTGCCAATAACGGTTCTCAAAAAACAACAAAGCAATCCTTTCCAAAGCAATTGCTTAAGAAATTATTTCTAATCTTCTGAGCAGGTTCTCCTAGGGTTTTGTGTCAGTATTGAGGCCAGATAATGTAGCAGGGGGCAAAGGTCTAGCCCCCCTCACCAGTCTTTACAGGGATTTCCCAGTTCGGGAGGGAGGAATCATCACTCTCTATTCTATGCCTGACTTCTTTAAAACTTTTAAAGTTGTATGAAATATCGCATAATTTAAATCGAACCCAATTCCCAGGATTCTTGACAATTTAGGGAGGTGGACCGCGAGTGATTTAGACCTTTTTATGGCAATCCGTAATGTAATTATCAATTTAAAGAAACCTGCAAGTTTCAGTTTCCTATTCTATAATGCAATTTGTAGGGTGGGTATTGATGGGGGGGGGGGTGGCGTAAACCAAATGAACTTCTCTGGAGATTGAATGAAGGATTGGTACCCGAAAATAATGCTTTTTATATTTACTTGAATCTTTGTAGGGGCTTGGGCCCCTAGGGATTTTAAAGAGGCGCTCGACTAACCCTGTAACATTTTTGCTGCAGAATTGCTTTACAGGCACAGCAAGCAGAATGTTTCTAAAACCAAAAGCAATTCTCTATTCAAAGGACATTTTGATGTAACTTTTGTCAGTTTTTGAGAACAAAATGTATAATTTACATGTTGGGAATGACATGAATACCTTTTTATGAAAAATTTTCCTTTTGAATCTCCAGCCACTACTGGGATATAAAATCGGATGTAATGGCAATTATGGGTATTAATGGTTTTCTTAGCCCCAGAAAGTTCTCTTTTCAACTGATGAGACACCCTAAGACATTGTTGGGGCACAAGGAGGCTGGGCCCCTTTGTAAAATCCGAACATGTCCAAGCCCCGAACTTATTGCTATTGTTAATTGAGACTTGAGGAAGCCCCCTTGCTCTTTTCATGGCACTTCACCCCCAGCCTCCTTTACATTACCAGCATGACGATAGTATCATGTCAATTGTCCTCGTTTCCGTTTTTCCTAATGATATTGAGATGAACGAGTAGTCGTGTGCCTGAAACTTAAAATACCTTTTGTTGAAAGATTCCATTAAAAACTAATTTTAGATGCAGGAAATCGCTTGAGATTGTTTCCGTAAACGATACAATAATATAATTACCGTCGTTGATAGCTGCCTGTTTCCTTTCTCACTGAATTGCTAATATTCTAGCGATAAGTACACTTCATAACCTTTGTTAGCGTTTCTTGGTTTTATTTTTTGGCTTTTTGTTTATCAACAACGCCCTTGATTTTATAGTGTGCATAATAAAGACATTATATATCCCGATATGAAGAGAGATTCTGTATGATGTCGACGATAAAATGACTGCAGTGTTGTTGTTCTATTGATGTAGCGCTGATGTTAGTAAATTTTGGGTACTCGTCCTCGGATAAGCATGCTTTCCATTGACAAAACATACCGGGTGATTGGGACTTGACCTGGCAGATTTTTACGAGACCAGGACTTTTTTGTTGCAATGAATTGCTTTTTTCGCCTTGTTTGGGGTATGGGGAGGAGTATGTATGACGCCATCATGATTTCACCATCAAGGTTGTGAATGCAAATGTTCTATATAATTCCTTTTCGAATCATTTTCAAAAATCACATCCACGGCAGCTGTCCCGCCATTTTTTCTTATGTTTAGGTCTAATTGACCTATGATATCCTATTCTTCAGCGATCGCCTTTTTCGCTTTGCGGCAATACCTATTGTTGGTTAAACACTTACATCAAAAAGTCTTCCCAAATCTGCATTGTGATGCATTTTCCTGACAAAGATTTTATGCAAGCAGAATGTATATTCTGTATCTACGCTCGGCAGAAGAATGGCGATCTTTAAAACTCAATATGCCCGACCTCGTTTCGATGGCAATTCCTTTTACACTTGCCCATGATGGACAACAACATGAAAGGCTCTTGCGCAACCGGCATGCTTAGCGGCAGTTGTCTTGGGAAATTTACTGTGTTTTGTATTTTCATGCAGTACGATACAAGAATACACTCTATTTTTAAGAATCAGATATTTATTGTGGAGGCTCGACGTTCTTATTTTTCGGATAATTTGAGGCTTGGATATTTCTACATTGATTTTCCTACAAAAACTTTTTAGAAAGACCAATGAGTAACAGATAAATGTTGGTCTGTTTGTTGACACGAGAGATGATTTTTTCCTTCAATTTTTTCACCTTAGGCTTGATACATTCTTGAGCTGTTCTTATTTTTTCGGAACACCAAGCCTCGGTGTTTTCATTAAGTTGTTTTTAAAAGGTGCAGTTGATCACTTTCATACCGATTTCAAGCCCGCACAAAATTTTTGACAACTGAAGCGCCCCGTCATCTTGTTCTGGTTAGCAACCACAGTAACATATGCTTGAGTTTTGCTCTAATTGAAGCCATCCCGTTTGAACGTTTTATGATGGAAATTATTATAAAAAGAGTATCGTTCGCACATTGGACAACTAAGAATAAAGGAAATGAGTAGAAGGGCGTGTTTTGTGTTCCCAGTGTAGTTTTAAAGAATGGTTTTCATTTTCCCTGCCAAGAAAAGCTATTCTATGCTATTGTAAAGATAATAAAAATGACCTTTTTATGGTTATTTTTCAAGAAACCAGCACAAAGAAGGAAATCTCAGTATCGTCTGAAAAATCTGTTTAACCACTTAAATCTACGCATGTCATTAAGGTTCTATTTAGTAGCGTTTCTTGAGTTCTTTCAAACTTTCATTATCCTTAAAGATACAGGCTGATGCCTGTAAATTCCGTCTTCTAACAGACACTAGCAGACATCCTAGACATTTGACACATTCATTCGACATGTGTCTCACCAGTACACTCCAGAGAAGATGAACTGCTTAGATGCATTCGGAAATCATTACCAGCCTACGTTTTCTTTTTTAGAATTCATGGAAGGAAAGGGTGACAAGAGTGTGTAGTGGACGGAATGAGATATTCTCGAAGCAAGGCGACCAACGGAAACGGTATCATTTTGAATAACCTCTAATTAGTATATTAAGATCTCGTGAGATGCAATTAATCAATATATTTCCGATTACCTGGAATAATTCAGTCAAGGTTTTGATAATTTCTTGGTGATTTTTAGGGTTTTGATATCATCAGTGGTAAAATTAGCTTGACCACTGCTCCCTTCGCAGATGGGATTCTGGAAATCTCAGCAACATATCGAATATATACATATTACATGAAAGAATAGCAATGTAGTTTCAGATCAATACAGGGGAGAATTATAAAACCTTTATAACTTTACAGGTTTCGAATCAAGTTTTTAACCCTTGCTAAATGGAACAGGGTCACACCCCATTTTCAACTTTACAGGTTTCGAATAAAGTTTTTAACCCTTGCTAAATGGAACAGGGTCACACCCCATTTTTCTCCGGGACCGTGAGATAAACATTTTTGGCGCGAAATACTATTTGAACTCAAATTACTCCTGTCGTTCAGTTTACGTTTGACGTCCCATTAGAGATTTGACCAACTCCCCCCACCCCCTCCCCTTAGAGATGATTTAAAAAAATTTTCGCAAAAGAACCTGCGCTAAGAATTTGTGCGTTCGATCTCAGGTCCCGCCCAACACAGTCTATCCGTTGACTGATTTCACAGTATTTTATATTATTATCTAAAATTTCTACTCAGGCTTTATAAACAGGTATACTCAAATTTATAACCATAAACTGTAATTAAACTTGTTTTGAAAAATTAAATCCGCTTACCTTCAAGTAACTAGTTTAATTGCTAGCTAACTATAAGATAAAAGATATTGTAGATAGGTAATGTAAAGTTGCTTTGTATCTTATAATTGTGGTGCATTACATGGTTGTAAAGTTTTCATAGGATCATGTTTCCACCGCTATGGCCATCCCAAGCACTTTTTTGGTAAGGGTCATGCCGTTCTCCCAAGAAGATAAAGTATATAAGATAATACTAAAGCTTCTGCTAGTGGCTTACTGAAGAGTTTATTTTCTTCTTGATTTTGGGGTCACTTTCTATGTTTTTCGGTCTTTATTATTGACTGGTCAAAAACATTGGGGTAAAAGTTCCATTGACTATTTAGAAAGTTTCTTAGAACAGATAAATGAAATGTTCTACGCCTCTGGCTGACCCGTCTACTTTTTGAATCGGAAGGAAGGTACGGCTTAATGCAGGTTTTGTCTAGGGGGGAATGGTATATTTTAGCACACTGATTCCAAGCTGGAAAGAACAATATTTGTTTCTCTATGCACTAAAGAGTGAGACTAATGAGGAGAAGAGAGGAAAATTGAACAATAGTTTACGCTGGTAACACTAAGTAACTGGAATAGTTGAATGGTTAAAGCTTGGTATGCAAAAGTAATTTTTCATAATGAGCAGATAGATAGTCAGGGCTTCAAGCTGTTCTGGTACAACTTTGTCTCTGTATAACATTTCATAGAAACCAGAATGTTTAGATGTTCAATTTAAGTGGGCATTACCTTCAGGTTTTTTCTTCCCTAAAAACAGTGGATTATTCAATGGTCATCTTCAATTTACAGAACTTTGCGTCAAAAAGCCCCCTCACTAAACGGCACGTATCATCTAAGTCCATATACGTACGTATAATTTTATGTTCATATATGTACTTTAGCGTTAGTGGAATGTCTGGATACACCTGAGGATTTATGTATCTGTAATGACTTCCACTGTCTTTATAGGTGCATCAACTCCACCCTTTATTTTCCAGACAGCAGCTATTTGTATATTACCAGACGCCAAAAAATACAAAAAGTAGGCAGTGAACCGGCCAGTAATACCTCTTTTTATTCGGTTTTAGCCCCCCCCCCACATCTTTTTAGACCCCCCATTTTTCACAACGCTCCACGGTGCCTGATCACTTGATATGATAGTCTTCTAGCGTTAACATCGTAACTTTCCTAGTAATGAAAAGGATTACTGTAACATTGCAATTGAAAATCTTGTCTGTACCTGCTGATCATAATCACTCACATTAAAACTTATTAAGTAAAAATGTATCCTAATGTAAATATCGTTAGCATTACCATTAAAAGGGGTTGTTAAGTAGCATTTACTTAATTTGAGATTAAGCGGCTTCCGTAGATGAAACACTTCAGAATTTCTGAAAGTATTAAAGAACGCTTATTTTTAGGTGAAGTCGTTTATTTAAAATAATCTTCAAATTAAAAGTATGTTTAAATCTATTTGTATGAATTATTGACCCCTCATAAAAATCTTCAACCTTCATAAAACCTAAAATGTGTTGTGCAATACTTTTGTGTACCCTTTCTCAGCCAGTAAGTTATGTAAACCAGTAAACCTTTTGCAAGTAACCCGTTTCGCATTACACACCGGTACGCCACTATTGTCATTTGCAAGCGCTTTTGCATGTTGATCACTTTTAACCCCGTTATACTTCATATCCATGCAAGGATGTAGGAAACTTCATGACGTCTTTTGCAATGGGTCAATTCAAATACCGGCCGGAAAAAACCGTCACTGGGCCGGTTGCTATGTTATTTACTGAAAGTTCCCCCGACTCAGAGAAAGGTTCCCTAGGGCGTATCCCCTGTCCAAGTTGCCTCCAAATTACTATTTGGCAAACACGTAAGCAAATGGCTGCTCAAAGGTTCGTATGGTGACAGGGTTCAGTTCTTGAGACAACTGCTCAAGAGGAAAGCCTTCGCTAGAGAGCCAATGGAGTGGAGATGCAATAACGATCTGAAAATTGACTGGAAATTCTTTTTAAAAGGATGAATGTCAAGGGTTTGATTTTTCAGACTGTGTCAGAGCTTCTCTTGGATATCATACTAAACTGACTTATTTCTTAATTCCTTAGACCTTTTTAGCTGTGGTGCGATGGTGCTTTCTTGCCCCCTGTCCTTTTTTTTCTTCGCAATGCTTCGTAGCATGAAGGTACCCCACAGTGGCGGAAATTGCGAGCATGTGGGGGCGAGTCCCCCCAGATTTTTGCTTAATTGTCGGTTAAAACATGCTTTTGACGGAAAATGATATCAATTGTCGGCTAATTTGCTTGTTCTTTTATGGGCTTTGCCCCCCCCTCCCCCCCCACCTCAGAAATGGATTTCCATCACTGGTAGCGCAATGGCAGCGTACTTTTGATATTGCAAAAACTTGTTGCCTTATTTTTTGGGATTTTTTCGCTTTTAAGTTAGATAAATTCCAAACCTGGTCCCTTCTTATCTTTCAGTCACATATTAAAGAACCCTAGTCACATATATTTGTTAAGAAAAATGAGTTTCAATGCCATTACAAAGGTCATTTTAGTGTAGCAAAGTTGCCGATGAAGCCTTGGGTTATCCCATAGTCATAGAAATGGTTACCCTAGGCTCACTGTTGTGCAAGCGACTCAAATCTACACCAACATGATCAACAACAAGCTATTCTCCAAGCACGGATGGTAATGGAATGCAGAAAATTCGGGAAAACTGCATACTTGCATCTGCACTGAGCTTGTTTATTCAGCATCTTGGCATTAGATTGATCTTCTTTTAATTGCATCTAGTTGGCAAGATGACACATAAACCTCCCTTTGTTTTCTTATGTTCTCACCGATGATCACTGGCAAGCGGCCTTCGCTCCAATCAGCGCAATAATTAAGAACCATCTAATCTAGCAAAATGCCTGTGTCATCAGGAATGAAAATTGCCATGCTTCTTATTGAAAATAAAGCTTACCCCGAAATTTCATTTTGAACTGATAATCATAATGTGTTCCTACAAATATCAAGCCACAATGGAGCCACATTGGCTCTCAATGTCTGTGCAATTTTACGATTGGAACATATTTTCCCTAAATTTTCATCAAGGAGAGGAGACGGTATAAATTTGTCACTTTATCTGTAAACTTTGGAAGCACCCAAGATAATAAACTTTTCATCCAAGATACTCAAATTCTTATCTAAGATACTTAAATTTCCATTTAAAGAAATTTTCTGTTCAGGAGAAGGACTGGGCATTTTTATTTTTGATGGATGTTTGTACAATTTATATTATTTTCCCATTAACCTTAAAACACTATCTAGTGTCATTATAGTTTAAATCCTCCCTCTTTGCTCTTTGATTTCTCAAGCAACTTCTGTCCCAATCATTAATCATTTAACATTAGGCTGATTTTCTGTCACTCAGGATGTGCCAATTTGTAGGCTACAGTTTCTTTGCATTTCATTTGCGTGACTCAACTCATTTGAAACTGTCATTACGCCCATACTCTGACGTCACTGAGTTTATCCCAAACATTGCCTGACTTTGGGAACGTGGATCACATTGTGTTAAGAAATTTCTCTGTTCTATTTCATACAACTCTGATGCCAAAAATAGCTCCTGCATCCAGGCGTAATTGCATCTTTGTACCATTGCCAATGCGATCGAAAGCTTTTTGTCGCATTTGTCTGAATAGGGATTTTCGGATAAGCAACACGTTTACGTAACGTGTTAGTTCTACGCTAAGCAACCTCTTCTCAACATACTTACTTTTTTGCAGTTTTAATTTCGTTAACCTAAAACAGCCCTGACTGAAATTAATATGCTCGCTTTGAAAGAAAATCATCTAATTTTTTTCTGATGAGAACGATGATACACATAATGCTGGTGATTATATTGATCATTAAAAGAACCAAAAATTTTAAGGGATACCACGTTTTAAGGAATAAAGCGATTCTTACAGTTGCATAGTGTGCGATTAGAGAAAATTTCAAGTATAAATCATTGGATTAATTAAGTTGGTTGTGATCAGTGATCTTGGATCTAAGACATATGAACCAAATCGTCTGTCAGAATGAGTTCCATCCTATCTTTTGAAGATGGATTATCGAGCAGTTTCGTAAGGTTAAGGGTGTTCTGTACTATGGTTTCATAATTCTTTCTTACACACAAATTCCTTGTTGAAAAATGCGCGCAAAAAGTGTTTAAAAAGACAAATTTTCATCTTCTTTTAAACCCCGAAACTTCTGGCGCTTTATAGATATTCGGAAGATATTTTAGTCCCGACACGTTGCCTGGTACCCCTATGATCCCTTTTTGTAACATTTGTTTACCCCACTCCCAAAGCCATACGCCTATTCTTACATCTATTGAGACATCCTATGATTTTCGGAAGATAGGCCCTTAATTAGGCCCTTAACTGATATTCCTTTGCCTGGAACAATTCGTTCTACAGAGATGAAAATGTATTGGATTGTTACCCATGCTCATCGGTATCTTTTTAATTTCCAACCAAAAAGGAGAGGATAACTCTCGGTCTTCTTTTTCTAAAAAGAGCGCCAAAACACCCTTGAAAGACGGTGCCATTCACTTCCCCAAACACAAACGTGGCGCTTCTTTAGTTAAGCCGCCGCTGCGTCACCCCACTAACCCATGTTGTGTGCTTTGTTTACCCAACATTGTTTACGGCTCTGATAATTCTTTTGGTATTTTAAAGTTTAAAAATGTACTAACTTTTCAACTTTCTGTAAACTGAAGTCTTAAAGTACCGAAGACAATCGAACCCATTTCAAACTTGGTAAAATATGATAAAAGTTAGTATTCCAAGCTAAAATGCGTACGAAATATGAATTAACAAATGAACGAAATGAGAAGCGAAATTAAAACAACAACCTAAGTTATCTTAACTTTCCCAGAGTTTATACAAGTCACAACAGTCGATTGTCAGTAGAAAGTTTACTTCATGTCTTCCTTCCTTTTATGATCGGGCTTTCTTCCATATCTTTAGGCTGTTTTTCATCTGCTTGATCTTTAACAAATTGCAATTTTGTCTAATTTCAAGGTTCAATTTCTTATTCATTGAAAAATATTGATTTATCAATTGAAGTGTACGAGATATATTGGGCATTTCGATAATTTATGTCTCAAGTCACCACTTGGAGCTGCGTTTTAAGGAACAAAATAGACAATATTTTTTCTTCCGCTGATTATTAAAGCTGAAAAAAATTACACAATTACGTTTTTTCTGGATGAACTGAAATATATTCCCTTCGTTCGTTGACCGTCTTTCTACATTTTTCTCTGAGACGAAAGCGTCGATAAGAAATATATTGGTGTCGTTCTCCAAAATCATCAAAATTCTTATCTCCCTAATTAGTTGTTTTCTAAATCATTTGTTGATTATTCATTCTATTTTGAACCATGATATATGTTTTAACCTCGAAATTCTGTAGCTGAACAATCGTTCCAATTTGAAATTTTCGTCCATTGAAGGAAGATTTTTTCCTCTTGAGGATCCATGTTAGCGAGGGGCTATGGGTGACATTCTCTCTAAACAAATCCAAGAATCGCCGAAAAGGTTTCGCCGAATCAATAACAAAAGATTCGAATAGATTATTTCCAAAAGGTGTTTGATTGCCCTTGCCCCTTGCACTAGGATGCGCCTCGAAATTTCAGAAGATTTTTGGCGGTAGCTCCTCTAGAACAGTCCATTTGCTCTCACGAGAATGCCCCCAACGCGAGAAGAATCTAGTTGCTCTCATGAGGATGCCCCCAACATAAAGCATAGTTACTGGCATATGTTTGCCCCTCCGCTTTAGTCAGTGTCTCTTTCATACCTACCTTTGCAAAGTTCCGCAAATGGGAAATAAGGTTTTCTTTGAAGGGACCTAAACCATTGTCTGGCAACTCAGCTTTTAAAATCGAGTTTTTAAAATCTATTGGATAATTCCCTTTTTCAATTTTATTCACAATTAGTTTTTCAAACATCATCACAAGTATCAGATTATAGATTTTACTAATTTTTTTTTAATTAACTCCTAATTTCAACTATTATTCCTTTAATGTATTAGGTCTGTTACCGTATAAGTTACTGTAAAGCTAACTTTCAGACGGCCCCTTGGAAATCTGTTTTGATAATGGACTACCCTGAAATAGTGAGCTTAGATAATTTCCAAATAAACGTGAAAGAAAATTCTCTAAAATTCTGCAATTCTCTAAATATTTATGGCCTTCTTGCCAGATAACAGCAACTTCGAGTCATTCTTCAGCCATTGTGAAAACATGCTATCTTCCTTCACTTTTTTGCCCCCACTTCACATTTTTGGAGAAAAGTCCTGGCATTCCAACAATGCAATGTAGAAAATATCCCATGTCTTCAAAACTTGTATTTTGAATTTCAGAGTTGCTATTCTTATTTAGTTGGCAATGATTTTTACATCAAAACTCATTAAATTAGGAACGAAACTTCTAAGCACATGTCCTAAAGCGTCCTACCCTAGGGGCAAAAATTATGGTGCCCAGTTCGACATTAGTGGGAAAATTTGCTTTGAAATAGAAAATAGAAGAGAAAACGCCACTTAAAAAGGAACTACGCTTTCCCCGCCGCACCTAAAGCTCATTTTCGACCGCTGTTCCAACTATTTGTGGATGATTTCGTGTTTAGAGGGTGATAAGGCCACCACATTATTTGGTTGATGTCCTTTTATTTGCAGTTGGTTTTCAATTCTAGCAGATAAGGAAAAAATTTTAGTGAAGGAACACCTGTTTACAGTTTTGATACTTGTAGGATTTTTTGCATTACCCTCTCTGTCTCATAAACGTTTAGCATTTTCTAACATCAATGTTTAGAAATGGTTTCGAAATTGTTTAGAAAGTAGAGCTTCCACTCATACGGAATGAAGGATCTGGCTGTGTTTTCGCCAATAGAGTTCAAAATGTTTACAAGAGGGAACGTGTTTTGCAGCTGTTGGCAGCCCTTTGGTGAAGTTTCTTCATCAGTAGAATCCTCTCAAAAAATAATTCCAATCCCTTTTATTCAACGAGAAAATAGCTCGCATTAAGTGAACTGATGTGCCAAATTTTATTGCCCCGATATCATTCCCCGATAATCATTATCAATAATTTTTTATTTTCCTTTTGAATTTTCCCCCAGTAAAGCTTTTTAATCATATTTTCTTTTTCTAGAAGCTGGAATTCACCACGGTACAGTCAGTAGCAGCCATTCTTTTAGTTTTCTCGCAACGATTGTGGAGCGGCTGTAGAACAGAAATGAAGAGGTATTATTATGTTCTGTAATCATTTCTCATTAAGGAATCTATTCATCTGAAGGTTTTCCGACAAATATGGAACGGCAATATCACAACTGTGTCCGGTCGTTATAAAATTGTTAAACTATTTTGAAGTGATAAATTGACGATCTTGCTTAAGATCTATACAGTTAAATGTTGAACAAGATTCGTCGTGCTATTATGAACGAACCAATCAAATCAATTAACAATCCTGCGACGCGAAGGATTCTGGTTAATTCACATCAAAGTGTGCTATAACGCAGTGTTCTAAATTCATTTTTTATAAAATATTTCCGTCTAAATTTTATAGAAAGTTTACCTAAAATCAGACATGATTATTATAAGAAGGGTTTGGCAGCAACATTTGTCAACTCCGCTCAGAAAAGTCAATTAAGTACAATGAATTTAATGCGTTTAATAGAAAATTGTTATTGTTTCTTAAGTGGACACTTAGGTTTGCCTGAGGACAGAATTTGTGTAACTTGTTTTGGAGAAACGGGCAAGCATGCATATTTTAAGCCAAACACTGTTTAGTAGAAAAACCCTGTTTTAAGTCAAATACCATTTGATATGATATGCTTAAACATACTCCCGATTCTGGATTGAAACATTATGTTAGTGAAAACATTAAGAAAGGATACCCCTGTTTATATAACAGTAAAGGGCTTCTGTTAAGTAAGCCAAGGAAAGAGTCTCTGTAAGGTAAACGGGTTAAAAGTCAGTGCATCTGCAGGAGGAATGCAATAAAATACAACGTCTGGAGTTGTCACTTGTGAAGCCGTATACAGAGAATAATTTTCTTGCTTGAATTAGAAATGTATGGGTACTCTTACTAGTGACACGTCCCTGAACTAAAATCCACTCTCGTTAGTGATGCTTTCCTCAGGCAAAATAGTCTCTTTTTTCTGTATAAAAGCGCGCTTAATAGGAAACTCGAGGCTCAATTTGCCAAAAAATAAGAACAGCGTAAGAACATGCCCAGGCTCACGTGAAAATTGTTAGAAAAACCAATGTTTTTTGAAAACCAAACAGAACAGATTTTTCAACCGTGCTATAATAAAAGCACCGAAAACTTTCATTGAGTGGTCTTTGAAACAATTTTTGATATGTTGTTGTAGAAAAATCAATTTTATAGTAAGGACACCATTAAGGGCACCCAAGCCTCGAATTATCCAAGAAAAGGAACGTAGAGCCTTGGCCTAAATTATCTGGTTCTTATAAAAAGGAGTGTATATTGATTAGCTTTGCCAGAATGTAAGATAATACTCAGACATCCGCATGGCCCCATGTGTTCGTAGCTATAGAAGCCAGGCAAGACGCACCAAGTCCCAAAACAAATCTTTTAATTAGAAGCTGATACCAATATTATGTTTTAAAAGACATAGTCAGTCTTTGATGTCATTCCTTTATTTTATCAGGAAAGAGCTGTTTGTTTCGGAGGATGAGGATAAATTATGGGTGGTTCATGTTTTCAGACAATAACAGGGGCCTATCCGCTTTTTCAATGTGAAATTCTCCCGAAATTACGGGACTATCAGACAGCTGAAAAGTCCGGATTGTTTTTCTAGAAATAATTTGTAAAGCGAAGGGAGCTGTGAGGAAGCGATGCAATATTACGAGAAATCTGCCATTTACTTTCTTTTTATTTAAGATTTCTATCGCAAATATCTGCTTATTAATTACTATTATGCGAGATTTCCCGAGGCTGTTGCTAAACATTCGTCCAGTTATATTCCATCGCACATTTTTCTATACTGTTAATACCAGTACTTGGCACCTATATAAGTCAACTCGCCCAGGTGTGGTTCACTGGGATGTACAGGGCTGAAACGTGCGAGTTTCTTTTCAAAACCAAATAGCGAGTATTTCTTTGGAATGCCTCGTTTTCAAAAGCATCAACAGCAAGCTGCCGACGTAAAATTTCAAGAGACTTTGATAACACATGTGCAAATTTAGGCTTGACAATTGCCAGTTCAAATAGAATGTGACGTAATTTATTGAAAGTTCCTTTTGGGAGAAGGCTCAAACCATGTTTTATGGATAGAGCCCTTGCAGATATAAGATGCCAAATCCACCAGATATGAGGCGCGCTAGTCCCTCATTTCTAGCCATTCTATGTAGACCAGTTTAACATTATAGTGGATTGCAGTCTTGTTCGAAGTAACTAAGCCATAACCCGGTAGTCCCGTCAATTATTGGTGCCGGCTTGCTAAATATGAGCCAATAAGGCAATAACGAACCTATTTCGCTTTCCTAATGCTTAAGTTTATATAGCCAGAGTATAAACCTACGCGCTTGTTTCTACAGCTAACTATTTAGGAAATACAATCATTGTTTCGACTTTTTATTCATCTGTAACTGCCCCAATAAAAAGGGCTGATTTTGCTTGATGCTTAATGAACGGTATTAAAGTCTTATCTTGATACACACGACAATTTGCTTGGCTGGATATTGGCCTAACTGCTTTTTTTCTCAATTTCCTATCCATTTCAAAAGAAATGCTAGGGGATTCAAGTGCACAACAAATGACTCTGCAAATTTTCACTAGGAAGGCCCTTGCTTGCTACTGTTGATACATTGTACCTGTATTGAAATTTAGTACTTATTTATCAATAGAAATTTAGCAATTTTCCTGCATGCCCTCCTTCCATGCAGAATTACAGATGCATTGATGCTTTCAATACCTCGAATCATTTCATAGTACCCATAGAACACATTTCTTTTCTAGGACTTTTTTAGTGACCCGCGAAACATGAACTTTTTGAGCTGAAACAGCTATAAATTGAGGTTTGTATTTTTGTATTTATTAATAAAGTCATATCAGTCACCATTTTATCGCCTAGAAATTCGGCTTAGAAACTGATGGCGGGTAAACAAGACCAATTTCAAGTTTCAACTTTCCGCCTAACCTATTTTGATTGTTTACCCCCGAATTGTTCATTGTGATAACATGCCTAGCGCGGTAGACAAAGGGGTCGGGTCTCATTATCGGGTTTTCCTGTCATGGGGCTATTGTTCTGAACGCATAAACAAAGGGAAAATGTTCTTTGTACAATTGTTGATCGATTGTTCTCGGTTGCTTTGTTATTGTCTATTTGACGCTTGTGACGCACGCCTACAACCGCTGCCTTATAAGCGCAAGTGCAGATAAAGCGCATCTCAAATGTCTTTGCGCCAGTAACGAACGAACAAACTAGCAGAGAGTTAAGAAGAGCATAGATTTTTATTCGTTTCCATAACGACAAGAATTTGCCGGTAGATTAACGGGCACATTTGAAGCTATCAAGTGTTTTGAGACATTTTGTTGGTACGCGTTATTGGGTCATTATGACTGATTATGATGGTCCAATGAAAATGCTACAACCGAAGACGTACACTTCTTTAACTGCATTTTGTGGTAAAGATGGCAATAGTGCAGCTGGCTTGAGCGCAGATCTTTGGAACACGGGACACAGAATGCAGGTACGTTTATCAGCGTTTACTGATGACAGTTCCCACTTTAATTATCGACTTATTTATCATAGCAATTTAGTCTACAGAGAATTTTGGATTTTATGCCAATGATTTGCCAGTATTTAAATAAATTTGCACTATTCGTATACACTTTCATTGAGAGTGTTTCCGTTCAATGCATCTCCTCTCGATCTAAGAATGCAATTTAAACCTGTTTTTTATTTTGATACCAGTTGTGACGTCTCTTGTCACATAGCAGCAATCTTGAATAAGACCTTATCCTCTAAATTTATAAATCGCTCACCAAAATGTAATCATCATATCGGATATATTTTCATCAGGATTTGTGCTGATAATTGAGAACTTCGTGTCGCATATTTTCTGCCACTCTAGACAATTTACCGTTGTTCGCCAGTAAGACATTCAATCCTGAGGTAAATCTTTGGTACCGTGTTATCTCCAAATCAAACAATGCAAGGAACTATACTAAAAATTTTGAGAATTTATTCCATAGTGCGTTTTATGGAATGGTTTACAAAGCGTTTTTTGTAGTTTTTTCTTATTAGAGCCATGTAGTCTTGTAACATTAAGATATTATAAGCTACTTAATAGCTTTACCTGTGCCACTACCTAGCCTCTGAAATTGACGTAGCCGTGTCGTTACCTTCCTTGCGTTGTTATACCTGTTACTGTCTTTTCTAGCCTTCACCAATATACTTCAACTCGGCATCACCGCCATTGAACAATTATGGCAATTATTCTCAATATTGCCAAGGGGCAAGCCACCCCCAGTCATCGCACACGAGTTCTATGAGCAGTTATCTTGATTTGGGTCAGTCAAACTCAATGCAGGGAGTTCTAACCACGGCCCCTCTAAATGCCGCATTCTACCCGGAATTCGGAAGCCACCCAAGTGCTGGAGGTGACGTCGCATCGAATTACCCTTGCACTTTTCATCAGTATTCGTGGTTAAAAAGCACAAGCCCCGAGTTTTGGTGGAACACTCCAGGAGTTGGTAAGTTGTTGCATCTTTCTTGAATTGCACTTGTCACGTGTTTAGCTAAAAAGTCAGCAGTGGGTCAAACAATGTCCTGCAGATCTTGTAGAAGATCGGCGATTCATAATTCATTTTTCATCATATAATCAGTGTTGTATTGACTTTATAAGATTTTACACCGCCCTCTCTCGATTGCATTTCCCTTATTCGATGCTGTAAAACTGATGAGAAGGTGAAACCCCGTGAAACGTATCGTATAAGTGCATGTTGCCTCTTTTTAGGCGTGTTTCTCAACAGCTATATAGATCTGCTGTCAGTTATGGGTGTTAAGGCTGTTAAAAGACTTCTTTAAGTTATCTTCACGAACAGATACAACTCTGTATTATCTTCAAAGAAAGTACCAAACCCTCTACAAAGTAAGGCACTGAGCCACACCTATGGGTCGTGTTCCAAGGCAGGTCCACTCGTCGCTTCCTTATCATGTGACGGGCCATACCTTGGCAACTACATAATTCTTTTGTTTGTAATGTTATCAAACCAGCTACATGTTTGAATGAGGATCATACTGCAATTTGCAGTTCTAAGTAAAGCCAGATAACACAATAGATGAAGAACTTTCTGGAATAATATTTTGAAAAGACTTAAGCATCAAAATCATCAAACAATTCTTGCCAATCAAACAAAATCATCCAACAAACACTTGGAAAATATTTTTTAAATCCTACATGTGCAGTTTCGGTACTTGATCCTCCCCCTTCCCATATATGCAACGCTCTGTTTCTGGTTCCAGTGAAATAATGATTGTCTCGTCCCAGTCCCATATATGTCGTTTTGTCTTGCAGTATTTCTTTTCAATCAGTTACTACTTCGTTCAGAACCAATAATTTCAAATTATTTAGGCCTACATGAGCATCGGCACTAGTTCATTTAAGTATACATGTAGTCAAGTCGTCAAGTTTTTTTAAATTCAATAGTTTATTAAATTAGCAGAAAAAGACATTTTTGCACCTTTCATTAATTGGTTAAAAATTTATCATCTTCTAACAGAATTTTCTTCGATAAAAGCCAAACCACCAGAGAGACGTCGAAAGAGAACGGCCTACACGAGAAAGCAGCTGGTAGAACTTGAGAAAGAATTTCACTTTAACCATTTCTTAACAAGAGAACGTCGACTTCAGCTGGCAACTTCATTGAACCTATCCGAGAGACAAATCAAGATCTGGTTTCAGAACAGAAGAATGAAATGGAAGAAGCGTGGCTCGACGTCTGTGGATACAACTGAAGTGGCTCAGTCTCCAGAGGATCAAAGGAAAAGTGCCTCGACAGATTCAATATTGTCCTCGTCGACAGAAGGAGAGAATATTGAAGAGGATGTTACGGACTGTATCAAAGAATCGCCAAAGTCTTATAACCCAGTTTTTCCTGAGCAAGAGGACTATAGTTCAGACAAGTTGATACATATGTAGATCGTTATTAACAATTAAAAACAGATTAATTTATTTGCAAATTCTAAGTATTTTTTCTTTTGTATTGTTAAACTTAAAAGGTGTCATTATAACAGGGACATATATTCTTAGTGGATATCCACGGTCTGCAAATTCCACAAATATTTATTGCAAATTCAAGAACACTGTTGTGAAAATCTAGAACAAAAATTTGTAGGAATATACACTCCCTGCGTTATATATCGATAGATAAAACTAATTTATATTTTCTTTTTTTCATTTTGAATAAACTGATTTCTTCCCTGTCTTCCTATGATGTATTTTTTATCATTTATCATTACTTAAATTCTTACCTGTCTTTACTTTTATCATAGTTAATATTTTCTTATTCGAATTTTCATTTTACACTGTATTCCTGACCAAAATCTCAAAGATTTGTGTCAGCTAACATCCATATATTTTCGTCAATATTTTAATAAATGTTTGTGTTTTGTTTCGTGATTTGATTTCATCAGTTTTTAGATTTTGTTTATAGTTGTGATCAGTTTATTCGATATTTTGCTCGAAACATTAATAAAGAATTGAAAGATACGAGAAGCTATTTAATTAGCAGTATTAATCTTAAAGTCATGGTATTTATCATAGTTGTTGCACATAATCAAGGTTATTTCTAAGAACCCTGTCGCCAATATTTGTTTTGATTAACTTTAAACCCCCGATTTTCATCATTCAAAGCAATTTTGTGCGTGTCAAATTTTAAAACCAACGTCATTCTAACTTCGCTTACATTTTTTGTATTTGATAAGTGCCATTATTTATTATCTTTGTAAACTTGATAAATACATCAAAAATGTAATTGTATTAGGTGCTGGAATATGAATCTAATTAGTAAATAGACTACTGCGTTTTCTAAGTTTCCACTCGAGTATTTATCAGAGTTCAAAGTCGAACTTTCATTTTCTCCGGAAAAGAAATATTGATCGAGGTTTTGAATAATGAGCGAGGCAAATTATGTCCGATTGTCTTTTCCCCGGAAAATTAAATAATTTAGAGCAACGTTGGAGAAAATACCGCGGTACGTCAGTGCATATGCTGACACGTCGGAAGTAGAGTTAGTTGGTGTATGATTGGAATTAGTTGTCGCGGCTCCATGGGTGCCATGGGTAGCATCATTAAATCACTTTTGAATCAAAAATAAATAATATGCTATCTTGAGTTCATGAAATTATTATCTAGAAGCTTGATTGGGGTAAAATCGGGCTTCACCCCTTCAAGATACTAATCAATTGAGGGGTAAGTATTTGGTGTGTCACACAAAGTTGTTAGTGCCTTTGTTCTTATCTCTGTCTTTTCTATTGCGACATGTGGGGTAGAGAAAAATTCTTTTACCCTGGTGATATGTGATTCTTTAATTTTAACAGGATTAGTGACTTTAAATATAATAAAAATAAAGATATCGAGTAAATAATACATTGTAGCCCATAAAACCCTAAGAGTTATATTTGTGTTCGTAATTGAAGCTATCATAAAGTTTTTCAAAATTCAATACTGTTGGGCTGTTGATAATGCCTTCTGTTAACTTGTTCCATACGATTCTTTGCGAAAATAAATTTTGTCCTTGAGCTTGTTTTACTTGTACACAGCTTGAAGATGGTTGTATAATTCAATTCGACGATACCTATTTTTGAAAACTAATATCATCACTCCTTGAGATATTCTACTCCGCAAGTATCATGAAATTATAAACGTGATTGTAACTGTACGTTCAACGATAGCTAGCATCTATAATTCAAATTCCAAAGCCTGGGGAAAACATCCCAGATTGGTCAATCTAAAAATCCCAACGCGATAAAGCGCCTAAGCGTCTTAATTTGAACATACAACTATAAAATTGAAATTCGAAATTTGTGATATGTTTTATTCTTGGGTTTTACTATTTCTTGATTCAAGAGTTAAAACAGGCTCCTGCTTTGTCGCTATCAATTTCGAGCTTTGCATTTACGAGACTTAAAAACGAAAAACATAAGTAAAGTTTATCTCCTTACCATCGAATATCTTTCTAACTTGTAATTTTATAGAAAGGTTTTTGTTTTATTTGAGGGCCATCTTTGTTAAATTTTGTTTGTTGCATTATTTAAATTTTATTTGATTTTTTTGCTGCATTTGTTTTTGTATCTCAAGTGCACATTTGCATTTACAAGTGCACAAATAGACATTAGAACTGCACATTTTAACTGCACGTTAAAAAATCTCTGATCTGAACAACATCATTCAGGGAACGCGGAACATATTACGGACTGGGGCGACTAGAAAGTGTTATGAGGGCTCAGCATGCAAAAGACCGAAAGCAATATTATTATAAAATTGTTTAACCGTACAGTTCTAGACACAAAATAGCGCGTATAGTTCTGCCTGTACGGCATCGAGCACTTTATGTAAATAGTAAATTACAATTGCATTGTTTTGAGTATATTTTTTAAAATATATTGGGAACTTAAGCACACTCGCCCCCTACTCTGTTGCGACGTGTTAAAAAGCTGCGTGTTAAGCTCGATTCTACATGGAGTACGTGAACCGAAATAGCATGAAATGCACCGCAAGACTCTGTTTTTGGTGCTTTTCTATTCATTACACATACAAGCCGCTCTTCTATACAAGCGATCACTTACTTTGTATAATAACCTGGTTCGAATCAATTACTTTGGAATTATGATGTGATATGGAGATATGTGAGATGAGAGGAAAATCAAATAAAATTTTACACAGAAAGCAGCCTATAAGGTCAAGATATGAAATGCAGAATAAAATTCATAAATAAATCATATATAAGGAGCAAGTATTAAAAAGATACAAGCTGGGGGCTTATTAATGTTAATTTTACTAACATAATGTTTCTAAAAATTTAATCTGTACTTCCAATACCGTATTTCCTCTAAAGAACGCCGCGGCGCTTATTACAAACTCTAAATTTTGGATGCGGTGTTCAATAGAGGGCGGCGTTATCAGAGGGCGGGGTTCATTAGAGGAAATAAGGTAGTTTTTGATGTTGATATGTTATGTAGGTGAAAATCAAATCTGGTTCCAAAATGAAAATACCAAAGAAGCAATTCACGAAACTGCAAGAAAACCACAAGCATAGAAACAAGCACGTGTTTCTTGTCAAAACGAAATCAAATCAAAACAAATTCTTCAAGGATAATTACTAAAAAACAACACTGAAAGAAATGATCGAGACAGTACTTTTCAAACAATTGTAATTTTTGCAAAAATTTCACCAGTACATATTTTATGAAATCTTTAAGAAAATAAGATTGCAGAAAAAAAGAAAACTCTAAGAATTCTTAAACAGGTCAGTCGGCAGTAAAAATGTCAGGAAATATCTAAAAAGTTTAATAAAGTAAGCAAACTTTTCCTGAAATGTTCATAAAAAATATTTCTCAAAAAGTGCATATATAACGAAATCTTTAAAAATAATTTATGTTCGAAAAACTGAAAAATTCTAAGAAATGTTAAGAAAATATGAATATGAAAAAAGGAAAACTTTCCAAAAAGCCAGATTTTTATAAACTTTGAATGAAAAATTGCTTTGAAAAAATGCAAATTTTTAGAAAATTTGAAAAATTTATTTATGAAAAGGTGGAGTTTTTGCCAAATCTCGATGAACCTATGACTAGTGAAAAAAAACAGAAACTTTGAAAATGTTGCAAGAAATATGATAACCAACAGAAATTTAAATGTTTGACAATATTAAAAAGCTTTGATTACTGAAAATAGACAAAACTTTTAAAAATCTAACAAGATGACTTAAATTTTGGATAAAGATAGAAAAACTGCAGAATTTATGCGAACTTTTAATTTACAGTGATTAATGAAAGCATGCTACATTTTTGGAAAATTTTAAGAAACTAATGATCACCAAAAATAAACAAATTTGAATGTCTTCAAAATTTGAATGTCAACCGATACTAACGATACTTTCGTGCCTTTTCAAAAACAAAAGGGTGATTCCTGATTTTTCTCCTTTTGTGTCATGAAAGAACCCATAAGGAGGTATACATGAGGTGAAGCAATCACTTCTGGGATAAACAGGTCGCCTCAGAAGGATAAAAATGTCTATTTTGACGGACGGACGGGGTAGAAAACAGTGACAAAACTTAATTCACGGGTTCAAATTTTCTATCAAAGCCAACGAACTTGAGATAAATTTGAAATATTTTTAACAACTAAATATCAGTTTGAAACATCATCATACATTTTGAACGACTATATTTCTCAAAATTTGGAAATTTTAAGGCCAAAAGTACCAATGGTTCATCGTGACGGACGGACGTGACGGACGGACTGGAAAATGTCTTTTGAGATTAAAATTGTTAAAAAGTACATTCTTCATCATCAACATTTAGTAGAGATGAATAATGGTTGATGTCAATCGTTTATTTGGTAGGTCAAACCCCATGTGCGCAGTTATTGGACAAGTCACAAATTTTTTAGAATTTTTTTCCTCTCTAGTAATAGCGACAAAATATTGCTTTTTTCTCTATCTATGATATGGTACCTCTATCACTATTTATGTTGACGATACAAGCAGAAATACCGACTTTTTCGTTTCAGGAAACTTACGATTGTCCGGACGGCACAAAATTTTGGTAAAAATTTTTATGAAAGTACTAAATAAATATGGCAAAAAAGTCTTAAACAATACTAAAAACATTTTAAACTTTTTATCGAGGCTAATTCTGTCTCTTGAATTCCTAATTATAAAAGTTTCAATCACTCCAAGAAGCATTTTGTGATGAAACCACTGATCACATAGAAGGCATTCTAGCAACTCTTCTCCAGTTTTATATTTACCACGGCATTGACCACAAGGGGTATTTGGGTCGTACGACAGAGGCAAAGCAGCAGCACACACATCACCATCCCTCATATACCTCATGTGATGTTCGTGGAAAGGCCCATCGCCGGTGTAATATGCGTTTTGGTACCCTATGCAAAAGTGTAACATTGTAAAACGCAATGTGTTTCAAGTCATGTGATTTCATCGTAGTGCGATATTATGACACGTTATAAATAACAAATTGAGCACAATTCTTTTTGAGTTTAAAATTTCACATTTTTCAATCAAAAAAACTTTGGAGTCGCCATTAATGTTTTACTTTTTTGTATAAACTTAACAAGGGAAATCACAGCACTGCTTCTTGTTAGTACCCCTTGTTAGAAATAGTTTGATTGTTCTTTACGTTCTGAATAATATGAACAAGAACATTTGTGTTCCCAGACCGGTTCGCATGCTAAATTCCACCATTCGTTTCGGTTCCCTGTTTTTTAAAAGCTTGGGTACGTTTTTGTATAAGAAAAATTGCCATGCGTTTGTGTACCGGGACCATTTTGCATGCTAAATTCCACCATTCGTTCTGGTACCCCATTATTTAAGTGCTTTGGTACGTTTTTGTATAAACAAAATTGCCATGCGTTTGTGTGCCCGGACCGTTTTGCATGCTAAATTTTACCATTCGTTTTGGTACCTATTGTTTAAGTGCTTGGGTACGATTTTGCATAACCAAAATTGCCATGCGTTTGGCTAACCGGACCGAAATGCATAAGGTTACCGAAACGCATATGACACCGGCAGCGGTTTGCAAGAACTGAAGCTTACAAATACCTAGTATGATGGTAAATTTTTGTGACGGACGGACAAGGTGAAATCATGAAATTACAGACGAACTAAGTTATTGAGCACTGTTTAAATGAAGTCGTCACGCTCGTTATACTGAAATGAGATAAAAAGCAAAAGGTGTTAAGATTTATTTTTTTTTCATGTGCGGGATGAAACTTTTTTGACCAATTTCGTGACGGACGGACAGACCAAAGGGAAATGAGACTGTCCGTATGTGACAAAATATTGTTTCTCCAAAACAAATGGACAAAGTAACCAGTTGAAAGTATCAGTTATAACATAGGTGCAGATTTGTATGAAATAAATTCGATTGGAAAAAATTTGAAAAAAATTATTTGTCCTTCCATCACAATTATTTTCACACTCAGCTTCAAAATCTACTATAAAAAGAGAACTACATACTAACTGAGAACTGAGAAATATTTATATTTTTCATCAATTTAGATAAGATAAATTATTCCATAATATCAAGATTCTCGTTTTTTCCTAAAAACTCAACGAATTTCGTAATAGCCACAACTGGGAAAAGGCAACATTCTAAGAAATCGTAAAGAAACTTACGACTATTGAAAAAGTGCAAAACTGTAAGAAATTTTGAAAATAATATTATCAGTGAAAGAGATAAAGGTCTAAGAAAAATAAGAAATATTAATGATTGCGAAAAATGCCAAAATAAAGAAATCGCTAGTTTTTTTAATGATAAACAGCAATTTTTTGGAAGTCTTGAAGAAACTGATAATTTTTCTAAAAGGTACAAAATGTTTTGAAATATTGAAGAAATTGGGAGCACCGGTAATGTTCAAAGTTTTGACACTATAACAAGAGAAAATATAAAGAAATCTTAAAGTAACAATAGCTTACATCGATTACAAAAATGAGACAAATTCAGAAGCCATTTTGAAGCAATTAT